AAGCATCCAAGCAACGGTCGAGCGCATGGCTTATGGCTTAGAAAGAAGTTCCCGTCTCCGAGTGAAAGAGATTAGCATCAAGTTTCTCTTCCCGGGTTCGTTAGTAGCTGGGCAAGCGTGAACCTGCTCTGCCTCAGATTCCCCATTTCCTTCTATTTTCTCTTAATATGAAGTAATGAAGTAGGCACATCCATCCGCCCAACCGATCCATCCCCTGCTTTTGGCTTCAGTCGACCTGCCTGCCACAAACAAAGGACTACTTTTGATTCCCCAACCACAGCAACAAGCCAATCAAACCCCTTCTTTCCTTACTCGCTACTACAATCTAAGGAAGACAAAACCACTCCTGCATACGAGACAAGAGGGTCAAACTTCGAAGCAAGTCATTCCTCTTCTTATTCTGAAGCGGGATTAGGAAGACCAAGAAAGAAAGAAGCCTAGATCGCTTACTACAGCCGGACATCGGGGAGATCAGACTAATGCCACATATGCGCTATATCTACTTCCAAGCTTTGCTTCTACTCTGGTTTTTTCAAGTCTTTCCCATTGGTATGGACATCTGCTTCAGGTTCAGCTTCTAGACTTCCATTTCCTCGATCGAATTGGCTTGCTTCTCTAATAAGTATCTCATATTGTCAGAATCTTCCCAAATCTTCCTTTCGAAGCACAGATATCTGATTCAATTGGGCAGACGGTTTCCTGTCCTTAAAGTGAAAGTCCACAATTCCATTTCAAGTACTTTTCCGTACTGACGTCTGATAGTCACCCTTTTCTCAATACTCCATTTTTGGAGGGATGAGCTCTGACTCAAGCTATCGATAAGGGATCTAATCCATATCTTCTATTTCCGATTATTGAAAGCGAATCCAGCAAGCCAGGATTGACACCTATGAGCCACCAACCGAATAAGTGTGAATAGAAGATAGAATGACTTTTTGTATTCTATCCGATGCAAGAACTAGAAGAAGGGGAAGAGCTGTCAAGCAGTCAATCGCTATCTTGCGCCTGAGCCCGGCTTTACCATGTCTCTGGACAAGGTGCGCAGCGGGTCAGACTCTTTGCATCTGATATGAGACATCTCCTAGATGAGATGGTTGAACCATTACTTCTTTGACGGTGGCAAACAAAGAATAGAGTGAGAGTAGGCGCTAGAAAAAGTCTTCCGCTCGTTCGCTACAAGTAAGAAAAGAAGAAGAAACAAGGAAGACCTGCGGGGGTAGAGGACAAGATGGCTCTGATTGGGGACGAAGGTTAGACTAGCTAGTCCCCGAGTTCAGGAGCACATTAAGACGGAGATTCCTGGCTCAGGTGACAACGGTCCGCGCGAGGCCGTACGTACTCTAAAAGAGAATGGCGTATTCCCACTTTCCCGAACTGAGAAATGGGCTCTCCCTCTCTCTAGCGCCTTTTAGTCGACCCTACCTCGTGCTGACGAAGCGACGGTGGCTAGGAAAGATTCATAAGGTGTCTACGGCTCACTTGTAGCGAGAACAAGAGCGGG